CGCTTAAATTCTCGAGGAAGACTGGATATCGCAATATCGCAATGGCAGTAGACTTAAAATTGGCTGAATCTTTGAGGTAACGATTTGCGCATGAGTTGTAAACCACCGACAAAAATATCCATGCTGAGTTTGGATGAGTTATTATTGCAGCTATGCGGCATTTGCCGTTAATTAAACATTGCACAAACGTCTTGGTGGGTGGACGTCGGTCAGCGGACGGCCCGGTTGATTACGTGAATTCTACCTTTCTTCACATGAGGCACGTGTAGAGGACCGTTTATTCATCAAGATCTTCCTTTGCGTGGATTTCATGATCTTTTCCGGCCTCCACGATAAAGTTTCCTCATCTTACAATCGGATCAAAAACACTGCTATACGAAAAGCGTTGTTCACCGATGATAGATCAGAAAATAACGCATTCGCCACAAAACTTTTACTTTTTGAGGCTAATCGCCCAGACTCTGCAAAATAGAATTCATTCCAGGAATAACAAGAGTGAGCGACGGTGCTTGTGTCTTCTGCAGGTCAGTCGCGCGAAAAAATTTTTAGAATCTTTGCAGAAGCGAGTTTAGTCTATTACCTGTACTGCCAAGGCCGATCTTGAACCTAATATCTTCAAAAGCAGGGAGTAGTGATTGTAGCTGGCACTCGGTCAGCTTATGTAGCTTTGAAATTTTTGACAGTTACAAGAGCCTGCTGTTTTATTTTTCAGGTGGCAGGAGCAGTGGAAATGGGTCCAGCGTTTGAAATTCTTTGGCTTTAGAACAAGTCCTTTAAATCGTGTTACAAGGGATATCATTTGAAGCGTTTCGTCTTTTACTGATTTAGTGTTTTGTTACTTCTTGCTGCGTTGCATTTCATCTTGTGGTTGCGCTTTTAGGGAAAGCCCGGCTGTCGTTCGTAGCAGATCGGAGGGTACGCTTTTCTACCTTACGGTATTCACCGCCGTTTAGTCATGCAGTTGTCGCTGATGGATAATTCGAAGCTTGACATGAGGCCTTCCGTGCAGCTGGTGGTCATTCTGCTGGTACTTTTCGTTTCATCAGTCTGGCTGTTTACCTGCATTGTTCACGCTTTTTATAAGTTCTTCATGTACATCTACCGTTTTTCGAAGGAGTACATCAGCATCGTTCAATCATTGGGCGCTCGCGCATAATCCACGCACGCCTAATAGAACAGACATCCGGACAATGGAGGTTAGTGATCAACCAGTGATCACGTTGCTACCTCATCCAACGATTGTTTGGTTTTTCTAAACAGCGATGTGCGCACATTTTTAGAAATCGATTCAGCCTCTTGATGTGATTGGATATTGTTTGCTGCGACTCTCGACGATGGCGGCCAGTTTGTATGATAATTGCGGCAAGGTCTTGGTTCCAGGTTACTACTCATTGAAACTGACAGCTTGCAGACGTTCAAATGATCATGCGCCGACCAAAGTTTCGTCGTCGTTCCGTCCTACATGTGTACTCTATACAGTCAGCGTAGCTGCGGACTTACAGGCGTTAGGACGATGAAACGATTCATGGGACGGACAAAACTTGTGCACACTTTCTGAACTGTCCTTAGACAGTGACAAACAACTAAGTCTAGATATGAAGTTACAATCGGACACTCGGTTGTCGCAGTTGTGTCACCGTATCCGTGAAATCGGTCGCTTGTCATTCGTATCATATTTGCTTTAATGAACGTATCTTCATGTATTTACGCCATATTTACCGCTGATCCTGTAAACTATGATAATTTGTCGGCTTTTGTCAATGGCTTAGCACATCTTCATTTTCATCTTCCATGGCCGCTTCTCCTTTCGGGTCCCAGAGGCAGACACGTAAGGTAGAGCTTCCAACGTTCCCGATCGTGTGCCAAAGCCTGAGCTTCGGCAGAAGACCACTGGAGTCTGGAACGGACTCCTTCAATATATTTGTATCTGGTTAATTTTCGCCGTCCCCTGGGCCTTCTGCCGGTCGGTTTCGCAAGAAACAGTTGCTTAGCCTTCCTTTCTGGAGGCATTCACAACACATGCCCAACACATCGCAGCTGTGGCTTCTCAGCCTGGAGAAGCAGAGGCTCTACACTAAGGATCTCCCAGATATCAGTATTCCGCAGGATATCAGTATTCGGGACCATCTCGAAACGCGTAAGGCCAGCCACTTGTCTAAGAAAGCCCATTTCACCAGCTTGTACCCGGGTTCGAACCTTTTTAGTCATGATCCATGACTCATGACCTTAGGTAAGCATGGGGATGAAGATCGACTTGAACACCGAGAGCTTAGTTTTCAGACTGAGCTCTGCTTTAGTCATAATAGATCTGGCAGGTTCACACAGAACGTCACTGGCTACTCCACTTCGCCGGTCGATCTCTTCCTGAAATTTTCCATCATTGTAAATACGATTCCGAGGTACTTGAACTTCTCCACTTGCGCCACTGCCTCTCCGTTAATCTGAAGAGAATAACGGGCAAGAGAACGAGAAAGCACTAGGCTTTTCGTTTTAGCTGCGTTCACACACATGCCGGTCACGTCGCACTGGGTTGCGAACATTTCTACGGAGCACTATGGATCAGTTTCAGAAGAAGCCAATAAAGCATCGTCGTCTCCAAACAGCAACATTCTCGTCTTCACATCTCCTACACCGATACATTCATCGCCTTGACTGTTCCTGATTATTCTACCAATGTACAACACGAAGAGGAGACGGGACAGGACGCAGCCTTGGCGAAGACCAGTGCGAACGTTGAATGGTTTCAACTTAACGCCATTAACTCTGACGCAGCATCTGCTATCAGATTACAGAGACTGGATCGCTCTTAGCAGCTGGCAATCCATCCAGTATGCTCGAAGGCATGTCCACATAGTGTTACCTGGGATCCGCTCATAGGCTTTTTCTAGGTCAACAAAACACATGTACACGGGACGGGCTTATAACACGATTTCTCAGCAATCTGGCGCAGGGCAAATATATGGTCAGAGGTGTTTCCACCGTGCCGGAAGCCACACTGCTCTTCTTGGATCTTGAGGTCAATTGTTGCACGGCACCTCCTTTCTAACACCTTTGCGTGACTATACCTGGGTAGCTCAGTAACGTTATGCCCCTATAGTTGGAGCATTCCTCGTGGTCTCCGTTTTTGAATACGCGCAGAATAACTCCCGTTCTTGAGTCCGCTGGTGTCTTTTCCGCAGTCATCGCAGTTTGACAGACACGTGTATGCCAGCTTATGCCTTGTTCACCTAATGCCTTGTGCATTTCAGGGCGGATTTCATCAATTACAGCAGTCTTTACATTTCTCAAGCTTTGCACACGTTATGTAATTTCATCTACAGAGATAGTAATACCCGTTCCCTGCTGCTTTACAGGCGAGTCTTCCTGCAGTTTCGCGGGGTTAACCAGTTCCTCAGAGTGCTTCCTCCATCGCCGAAGAATATCATCATCCTTGGTAAAAGGGTGTCCAGACCTATCCTTCGGAGCCGGCGGATGGTCTGCAAGAATACTTTGTTTGCCGTGTGGAAATTCGCCCCAACGCCTGACCGAACTTCTCTCAGGAATCAGATTTGGCTTTCGCCACTGCTTTGCCTGCCGCCTTGAGTGCTTCAATATATCGCACGCGAGTAGAACACTCTTTGTTGCCGAAGCATTTCTTGGACCCTGCCTTCTTCTATTTAACTGCCAGTTGCACCTCTCGTGTCCGCGAGGAAGATCTTTTCTGATATCCAGGCGGCTGGCCAACCCGTTTGAATCCGCAGCATTCGACGGCAGCCTCGAGTATGCAGCTCTTACAGAGCTGCCACTTTTTCCACATCAGTGGTCATAATCAGGATCTGTTCAAAGCGTCGTGCGATGTTTGCAAATTTTGCTTTTGTGTCTGCCGAAGGTAATGTTTCCCATTTGATTCTCTGGTTGCTTCTGCCACCAGATCTTCATATGGTACTCCATTTCTTACAGCGGAGAGTGCTAAGAACAAGATGGTGATCAGTTGATAGCGCCGCGCCTCTCCTGACGCGAGCATCCACTACTGGGCGTCATAAAGTCAGACGATACGATTATCAAATCGGTCATCGACTGTGCACACGCTTCCCGTACCAGGTATACTGATGCACTCTTCAATGATATATTCATAATCGACAGTCGTTTGTTTGCACAAAACTGCAACAACTTGATGCCGTTATTGTTGAGGTCGCTAGGGTGGTTTTCTCCAGTCACGCCGTTCCACTTTTCAGCGTCTGCTGCGACATGCGCATTAAAATCGCCCATGAGTATGTGGGACTCTGTATTCGGTACTTCGGACAGAGCATACTGTACTATCTCAAGGAAGGTGTCATATTCTTCCTCCAAACTGAGCGCACAGACCCGTATCACGGTCAACACTTTAGCCGCTTGTAGCTTTAGTCGGTCGGAGAATTACCACCCTTCCGCTGACAGGCTTCCAATCAAACATTCTGTCTAAGAGGTTGGTTCTGCCAGAACACCAACACGGGCCGTAGCGCGCTTCGTGATGTCGATACCTGGGTAGAATGGCTTCCACCCGCCGAGGTTCAGAATTCCAGAGCATTGCTGCTTCGTTGACGAGAGTCCAACAATGTCGAGTTGGTACTTTATGGCCGCATCAACCAACTCTTGTTCCTTGTTCTTTCCCTCTGAGTGAAGATATATTCCAATTTCCGACTGTAAGGTTGCACTGGCGGTGTCGTCGTTCTCGTGGAGCCTTTTCTAATGTGCTATATTGGCATATCGCTGTCTGCATTCTCCGTTCAGAACGGGTAGCGACTCCGTTGATGACTGGTATCTTCGTCGACGTTCCGTCGGTTTTTTTAGCCGTTGTTGTGCTGCTGCGCCCCCGGCTCGCATACGGCGATGAGCAGCTTCTGATAACCGACATTCCGCATTCTGCCTCATTCCGCCAACAGCCTGCGCGGCCCTTGGTTCCTCGGGTGACGATCGAGCCAGTATAATTTTAGATGGCGTCAATACGATGAGTGGCAGAAGGCTAACTTTAACGGAGACTTCGCCACGGTCTCCACCTTCCTGCTTTCTCAACCGGGCTTGTGACCGGCAACGGCGTAGTTGGCCTGACACATTAATCAATGAAATAGTTTGCTCATGAAGTATTCTTACTGGAACCGGAATTCGTCAGATTGCATTATTAAAATTTAGCGTCATTCTCAACGAAGCGAACGTTGTCAAAAGCATGTAGATTCTGTACTTAAAAATTTGTGGTCACACGGGAGACGTACTTGTGACCTATACAAATTTACACGATATATTCATGTCCATTCCTTTGCTTGTAAAGACGAACGGGAAGCTTCAAACAGATCAGGACTCTATGGTATTATGGAAATGGCAGTGTATAGAAGTAAAATCACACCACTGTACTGAAATGAACTTTGCGAGTTACGGTGAAACTGAAGCCATGTTGTCACATATTTGCACTTTGCATCTGATCTTCAAAGATGACTGCCATGATTAAAAGGTATTACCAAAAAATAAAAGATAGTGATGATATAATCTTTGCCTGACGGAGTGCAGTACGCGAGTGAGTTGCTCACGGAGTAGCTGATAATCGTTCCTTTGGGAAGCACGAAAAACAGCATAAGTACCAAAAACGTTTTATACTAAGGAGTCAAGAAATCGACACAATTGTTTTATTGTCACTAATGCAGCGAATTAAATCAAAGCTGGTGTGTAACACCAAACCGACGAGGAATCAAAGTCAAGCCACCGATAATTATTCATTTAACGCGAAAAACGTAAAACCATGTGTCTAGCTTTCGAATCAAACCACCGGATAGAGACTTCGATCACAAAACAAATATTGCCCTGGAGAAAGAATCTAAAACATGTGCGATAGCACTTGGAAATGTAAGTCGCTTTTTCGACAAACACCAAACATGAAGCATCTGCAACTTAAACAAAACTCCATCATTTGTTTTTCTTCCTTTTGAACGCTTCAAACAGTTTGCCACCGATCGCACCTTAAACCGCGGTTTACGATCAATAGTTAAGCAGTGAACAAATTGAAAACCAGCCGCCGAACCGCCAATCAGCGCAGCACACGCAATTTCCGCGTTCACCAACAACCCAAATGGGCCCAACAGAAGTGCACTGACGATACCGGCAGGAAGACATATGAGAACCCCGAATACGGCTCCTTCGACGACAGTG